CCCCCTCCCCCCTTCTACACCCGCCAGCTCTCATGTCTTCTTTTTTATTTATTTATTTATCTATTTTTTGTACAAGTCGTGTAACAATAAGAGTACCCTCTCCGGAAGTGCATTGCGCATTTACGGCGAAACGGTACACTTAACCCAACTCCGTTCGGGGTACACAATTTTTACGGGGTCACGGTAGCGCATCGAGATATTTTTTTCTGATTGACGCTGATACTATCCACCGCTTGTATCGTATAACCACCAACTTCATCCTCCCGCACTGTATCCCTCCTCTCACTTCATGTACATACGAATGACCGATCGTAATCGAATGGAAAAAATCTCGTTGCAGTGCACATGCAACGCCCATAAATTAACTGTAATTATTTTGCAGTATGCAATAGCCGACGGAAAGTGACTTATCTGCAATGTTAATTTTCGGGGGAACGTGGATGTTTAGAATCTCATCTCGTCGAAATTCGTCGCAAGGTGTGGCTTATGGAGTGATTATCATACCCGATAATTTACCGTTATGGATTAGTCTTTGATGATCGGCTTTGGGTTTATCAACCAGGGGATATAACTTGAATTTACATCGGTAATTGATACGATTTATCGCGATACCCTCATTCTTTTTTAATTTTCACGTTAACTGTGGCGCGTCCCCCGAGAAACGCGATAGTTGCTATCTTTCAATTTTCTATTTAATATCGACATCAGATTTGTTCCATTATAAAATATAGCGAGAGATGATGATGACATATAGCCAACTGACGTTAGCCGAAATCTTACTCTCGATAACTTAATTTTGGTGTATCACCTTTTATAGATAGGATAGATTAATGTGTATTTTTTTTCGTGTATATATTATCCTGCCAGACAGAAATATTAAAGGGTTAAGGTGACTATTTTTTACTGAATTTATGGCTAATAGGGCTATATCTTGCCGTTTAAAATTAACGGAAATTCGAGTCAGCGGGAAGCAGTGAAATTGCATGATTTTACCAGTCATTAGTCGTCAATTATAATTATCCTCTTGAGGATCTTGAGGATAAGATTTTTTTTTACTAAATTCGGATTCGGAGTGCGCGATCCAATCGATATTTTACAAACTGAATTTAAACATCCATTAAATATCTTAAAAATAAAGATAATCCCGATTGACGTGAATTTTCTCATACAGAAAGATGAAAGATTATATGCGGAGTGAAAATATCTCTTGCGCTGGGTTATTAACGAAAAAATCCGTCACTCGTGCTATTCATTTGATGAAAAAAACATTACGAAAAAAAATTTTCTGATGGAAATCGTGAAATCCTTCAAGACAACCGGATGTAAAAAACCATTAACCCGGAATGCTCCCCAAAAAGTGTTTCCAATTATTCCCATAAATTAGACACTTCATGGATTCTATGTATGGAGATCTGGATGAAACTTCACGGCCAGCCCCGTTGTAAAATAATTATGTAATTATCCAGGAAGTTTCGAAGCAATTTTCATAGCGCACTTCACCGCCACCGATTCCTGGTCAAATTTCACTCTTTTTTTAAGGCAGCGCCCAAAGATTTTTATTTTTTTTTATAAATTAATTCGATACATAAAATTATAACAATATATTCTTCACCCGTGGTTTTTCATACTATCATGAAGATATAACAAGCGCATTGAGTTGAGTCAGTGAAATTGAATTTTTAATTGAACAATGAACAAAACATTCATGTATTCAAGCAACTAACAATTGGTGATAGAGAAAAAATTTCCAAATGTTTGTCATTTTTAAAACCTCAGCGAATTCTTATCTCTGAAAATTATGCGCTAATTTATAAAAATTATATAGGAAAAATGTATATAGGAAAAATGTATTTTTTCTTTCCTCAAGCAAATACATTGGGGGACAGTGCATGCAAGCGGGAGTGGTATAATTGAAGTAATATAATTGAAGGTCCCTCCTCAACGACTTCCGCAGGTAATTCAAGGGTCTCGAGAGTTTCGTGGAAGGGCCCAGTGGGTTCCCAGTAATAATGCAATCCCAGTTACCACTGCATTTTCGGTCTCACTGTATATTGCAGGGGGCCCCCACTTTAACAATATCACGGATGTGAAAAATTCACGAAATTCGTTCAGACATGTGTACACACACGTGTAGACGACTAAAAAGTTGTCACGGTTGCTGGCGATACGGTACGCCAGTAATTTCGCATTTATTTTCACGCATTCGTCTCGTCTCTACTTTTTTTGCTGGTTCCTCTTGATTTTTTTTTTCGCCCCCTCCCCATTTTTTTGTTTTTGGTTGAGGGGTTCTTGTTTCGTCTCGTTTGTTCAGAGGGCAGTCAAATATCGCGTGTGCGAAAGTGCATGGCCCCCTCCGGGCCCCATAAACGCCTCACGTTTCCGTTTCACCTCTTCACTCGTGGATTTTTCTCTAATTTCGACATTTTGCGTCTCATTACGATCTCCTCATCCAGTGGGAGGCCACAACGTGTTATTGTAATAGCGAACCTAAATACTGTCTCGTATTGTTCTGTTTTTCGCATATTATTCACCCGTGATGCACATCAGTCGTTCACTTCCGGTTCACCGATTTTGAAGAGGTGAAAAAAAAAATGCCCAAAAGATTAGGATCGGCCGAAAATCACGGATGTGGGTTAACAGTGAATTAACTAAACAAATCACTCTGGGGTGTCCATGGAATTAATTCTAAATAACGGGTTTTGATGTGTAGGATAAATATGCAAGAGATGTATGGAGATAAGTATCGATAGTGGGACGACATGGATCGGTCCAATCAAACCTCGGATTTAGCAAAATATCTTCAAATCTACAGTATGGGAAGTCCATTGTCTTTGGAAAGATGCATTTTTTTTAATTAAAATTTCCTACTAATTTAATAAATATATTTATTTATATATATTTTATTTATTCTCCTCATAAAAATATTGGCGAGATTAAACAATCCAAATACAATAAACTTTAATTAAAAAAAAAACTCTATTAACAAGGTTCAGTAAATTAAGATAGAAAATATTTAGTTTAGAGCGATGTGATCTTATTCGGGTTGAGAGTCGAACTGCCTGATGGATTTTCCGTTTTGGGAACCTTAGGCACAAGAACTTTTTGTTTATGACTCAGGCTAGAGTCTGCATTGCCACTGGTCCAAATGATTTCCAGGTGAAAACCCCGAGGTGTCGGGTGGAGTAAAACAAAGCCCTCATTATCCTCAACTGTTTATTTACCAGTCCTAGTCGAACGCGTTTGAATTTTTCCTCTCACTTGTTCTGCTGGCAGTAGAATTAAAAAAAAATAAGTTTAAAGTAAAGAGGAAGAAAAAATGATAGGGGATTTGTTTTTATTCTCGATTTATGATCCTCGGACTTGATCAACATCAAACAATAACAATAATATTCATATACAGTAATGATATTAAGCAAATTGTTATCCCCACATCTGAATGCCCTATCAATTCGCGCCCATCACCCACAGCTGTTAATTCCCATTCCTTCAAAAGAATTCCGCGTATAAATAATGACATAACGGTTCCGGCATTTAATCACTCGCATTCAGCAATCATTTTCCCGATCATATCAATTTCCCCCCATTAGGAATCAAATTTCAATAGTAACTACCATGATGAGTCACCAAGAATATTGGAGCTGATACCGCACGGAATCACATATTATGACCTATTTTAATTTTTTTACACTATCGCATGCGCGGTGACTCATCATTAGGAATTTACACGGTGGTTTGATAAAAGAAGAGCTGATAATAAAAAAAAATGTAGATGGAATAATAAATAGAGAGAAATATTGGAGAGGGCCATTAAAATGAGAAGCCGAGTCAACTCGAGCGCAATCCAACAGGCGTGGAGCGGTATACGAAAAACAGGAGTAAAAAAAAGAGGAGTATTGTAGGGAAAGATGTTGGTGGGATGGAGGGAGATGGTAACCAGAAAGGGATAGGGTAGCTGGTAGAGGTACAACACGGTGCTTTCACGCTGGGAACACGCTTCGCTGGCCATCCTCGACAAAATCGTATGTAAAGGATGGAGATGGCTCGTACCGATACATACGTAAGCTCGAATCATTATTTCCCTGCATCTAGAATCGGCTGGCGTTCGCTCAACCTTTGTCGAGTACTTTGCAAAGTGGATCGTACCTGTCTGGTTAAAAAATAACCAG